ACGTCTACACTACAGTCCCCCTTCACGCCATCCCTTGATCTCAACAACCCAAAGTTTGATGTTGAAACAAAATATAACACGAATTTTACACGATGCTGTCACACTATTTACAATTTCTATGTTCCGGATTCGGTTCGGATTTCGGATCAGATTTCGGATCGGATTTAGCGATACACATCGGATTCGGATTCGGATTCGGATTCAAAAATTGCCACCGGATTCGGATTCGGATGGGATTCAAAATAGCCATCGGATTCGGATTCGGATTCCGATTTTCAAAAATGCTGTCGGATCGGTTTTTTGGTTCATGTCGGATCCGACGCACAGCACTAATGCAGACACTCCTGTTGACCGTTGGTCAAATTGACCGTGTCTGTGAGTTGGTGGTACTACTAGGCCTACTTGTTTTATAACTGCTAGGCATGACCGTAGGTGAAACTGACCGTGTCTGCGCGTTCGTGGCCCTACTAGCCTAATTGCTTTATAATAGCTGTTCGCTTTCGCTGTCTACTTTGTGAAAGTGGACAGTGACGTGTGCAGCGGCCTTGGGCGACGAAGCGTGTGACATTCTTGCTATAATCTTACCTATGCGGCCTTCGCTTACATATTTATAAATTGCAATCACAATTCCTTCATTACATGTAGCTATCACGCATAGTTGCAGTATGTACATCTGTGACAGGTAGTGCACCTGTACTAGTGACGCGAGGCGTCCAGATGACCTCATACTAAACTATGGGCATGCTGCTGCATTTTGTCATATGCGTATAATATACGTAGAGATATCATGAGCTAGTCTCCCGTATATAGCGTCAGAGCATGACGACCCACTGTAGATACTAGATACTGATATTGTCTATATATATCGACATACTGATGTAGATTGAGCGCTGACACGGGCTGTCCACTCATCTATGATGTGGGTATAGAATGAGAAGGAACCGTGTTTGGGTGGCATTGCCCACAGGTTTTTTGTAAATAGGCGAATCCCTTCTTGCGTTCATACCGCATTAACATCAGTTAAATATATCCACGAGAGATAACAGTAGTAGAAAAACGATGTACTAGCATACCCTGCTATGTATATCTGTGCTCCTATTTGTTCGCGTGGAGTGTGCGAAAACACGAAAATCTCTGTTATAAGTTGTATAACGATTTATTAGCAGAGCGGCAGTGAGATGACCTGAGAGTATAGTGCATATGGGCCACGCCGACTCTATCAGGTATCCATTGTCCGGGCTCTGCATAGTTGAATAGTAGGATATGGAAAGGTACTCCACATCTCTTCTATGAAACCATGTTATGGTAAGGCATCTCGGTATGGCGATACATCGAGACCCTTACTTCGGTGAGCACCTGTAGATAGTGATGCGCTGCTGGTGTGAGGGCATCTGAAAGTTCGTTAGCTGTCACCCCAAGGATGACTCTTGCGGGCAAGAGTCTCAAGAAAGAAAGGGGGAGTGTAAAGAACTTCGGCTGCTATAGCCTCATATCCCCGCATCCCTATCGTCCTGTCGCGTGTCTCAGCATCCCTGGTGGCTATGACAGCGATCACGTGATTCCCACCGGTTGTATGATGGAAACCTGTGGGGTGATGTGTGGCTTGCCATGTGATGTGCGTGACATAAAACATGACTTGATCACGCGTCTCTCGTGAAGCATGATGGGAAGGTGGGAATCCCTACCCACACTAAGCTTGTGGTATAAATACTGGGCTCTGCTCTCAGTAGGACGCTCCGGCTCGGCCCAGCCCGTAATAATAATCCAGATCTGTCATAATAAATAACCTCAAGTCATTCCATGAAGACGACTTAAAGGAGAGCATCACGGTAGACACTACTCCTCTACACACTCGGCTACACACTACTCCTCTACGGAAAGAAGGAAATGGACACACTTGATGAGTTGCGGTACATCATGGCTACAACGACAGACAAGTCTGCATCCATGCTTCCTCCAACAGAAGATGCCTTCCAACAACATGTCTTGCGCGCAAAGTACCAAACACGGATTTGGTGCAGGAGTCACATCCCCAACCAAGAGTTGATCGAACCGGTTGGCCATGGTTGGTCCGCTTGTGATGATGGAGGCATAACACAGACGATGTTCACTCAGCCATCAGCTCCAGTTGAAGTTCGAGACCTGACACATCTCTATTGCACAGACAAAGACTGCTTGAGTGCGAGGAAGTGTCCTTGTCTCCTTGCCGGACTAGAGTGCATCGATGCTTGTTCATGTACTGACTTTGAAAATTGGAACACTATACCAGAAGAAGAAGGAAGTGGCACATAGATTTGTGTTGAAAAATGGCTATTGACGTCATGGCCCACAGTGTTATGTAACCATTTAGCATTGTTGTAAACAGGGTTCACGTACCATGTTGTACCCAGCCTTCACCATGCTTCAACTGATTTTTTACATCAATGATACACCCAGACTGATGGATAGGCCATCACTCAGGTAGACCTATGATACTGTTCTACCACGTACGGTGGCAGTATGCATGGAAACGTTCTTTATTATGGTCAAAATTATCAGAAATTGCCAGATATTTTGGTATATTTTTGGGCCCTTAACCCCCTTAAGCGCATAGAATTGCCTAAAATGCATTGCTTCATCTATATTTCAATCAAAAGCATTGATATAACCATCAGTTTTAAACATCTGCACGGCTGATTTTATAAAATATGCAAGTAAACTGAAAAAGTAGTTTTATGGTCTGTCGCAAACAAGGGGTTAATGTACCTGGCATGTTGTACCCGTTTACCATGCTGAAACTGATTTTTTTTATCAATAGCACATCTAGGCTCATGAATACAGTCAGATCTGACACAGTGATAACATGTATTGGTGGAATAGTGCAAGAAAATATACATTATTTTGGTCGAAATCACCAAAAAATGCCAAATTTGGGGTATAATTTTGGCCCCTTAACCCCCTTATTTCATAAAATAAGCAAGTAACTGAAAATGGCATTTTTTCAGATGTTACCGTAAACAAGGGGTTAATTCGGCATGGTGTACAAGGTTGCTGCAACTACAACATGGCTTTTCATAAACTAGGGATACAGACGGTTAAAATGTGACCAGTCCCAGCTTGTTATACCTCCGGTAGGGGTATCTCTTTAAATAGAGCCCTTTTTCAGCTTCGGCCACTGCGCTATTACCCGAGTGTCTTATTAAACCTGAAAAATCAAAGGATGGATATATAGATGGAAGGATCATATATGGATTGGAAGTACACAAACAATAAATAGTCTCAGAACTTCCTGCGCTCAATGGACACGAAATATTTAATTTGAATAATTTGTACATTCCAGGCTTCACTAAGTACTCTCTTGTGAAAAAGATCATAAAGCAAAACAGTGGCCACTAATAAAAATGCTGGCTTTTTAGACAGACGTATAGTTGAGTTCATGATCGCAAATGATAAGGTGAAATGATCGAGCTAGCTGGTAGAGGTGGTTACAGTTAATAAACAGTACATGCTATTTAAGATAGGGACTGCGTGGAAGGGTGTCTCGTGAGCAAAACATCTCAGATTAAGGGTGCCTCATAGCTCTGGTTTACCTCATACTAAGGCTGTCTTTTGGGGAAGGGGCAGTGGCCATACTGATTTAGAGTTGACCCGAGTTGATCACAACACGTAAAAAATTCTGCTAAAATGTTATTCTCTTGGAGTACAGGTGAATTTGAGGCTCTGGAGAGGATCCGGGAGATATGCAAGCTGAACGAGATTTGGCGCTCGTATATCGGCATGGGCTACTTTAACTGCTTCACCCCTAACACCATCATACGCAACATCTTCGAGAATCCTGGATGGTGAGTCATGACGTCAAAATTTCGTCCACCCGATTCGTTTCACCCTCAGCATCACAAGAATCTGTTATATAGCCTTCCCCAGTACTACCACATAGCTGTTGTCTACCTATACAGTTAGACCTCGATTATCCGAACAAGATGGGCGGGGAGTATTTTGTGCGGATAACTTATTGTTCGGATAACTGATTTGATCGTAAATAAAGGCAACCAAATAAAGGGAGAGAAGGATCGAGAGAGAGGGGTATGGGTGTGGCGAGCGCGTACAAACGTGCGGGTGTATGTCGCGACATATGTGTTGAATAAAACCTGTCTGTATTGTACAAGACGTCTTCGACCATCACTGTCTACGATCACTGACCGACGAGTTAGAATCACGATCAGATAGCAGGGCTACATTTGGTGCCGGACCATAAGAACTGAGTATTCTTTTGCAACACAACGCAAGAAGAAAAACCTACGGTGCACGCGCCGAAAACTAAGTAAAGATAACGATAAATAACGTAATGATAACGATAAATAACGATAAAAAAGAAGAAAAAGAACAACAACAAGAGGAAGAAAGAAGATAGTTGAACAGTGACTATATTCTGCCGCACACGCGCTGGCGAAATGTGGGGGCACAGACTGTGACATTCGGTATGCTGATATTTCTCCATATGGCCAAAATGTATGGAAATGCATACGGACAATGATATGCTGCTGCAAATAGCACATTATAGAGCCAGAACATTCGCAACTGTACGACCTGACAGACGTTTAAACTCAGTTATGAGATCTGATGCGTTTCCTCTGCCAGTAATAGACGATGTTATGCAAAATTTTGGAAAAGATAAATTTTTCAGTTTGTTGGACATGCGTAGCGGTTACCATCCGATAACATTGGCGAGGCGAGATCTACACAAGACAGCGTTTGTAACAACGCGAGGCCTGTACGAATTTTCTCGTTGTGCCGTTTGGTGCTAAAGGAAGTCCAGCTCAGTATCAAAGAGTTATGAATCATGTTCTTGAGGGTTTACAGCACAAATATGCAATCGTTTATTTAGATGACATAATGGTGTACAGTGCCACTTTCGAAGAACACATACAACACCTAGAAGAAGTCTTCCGCCGTTTTCGGGTAGCGAATCTTACCTTAAAAGCGAGTAAGTGTAACTTCCTTTGTCGTGAGGTCAAGTATTTGGATATTGAGTATTCATTGATGTAAACTCAGCAGTCGTGATTTACGCGAATAGGTGCGCTCGGTACACGCGTAGAGAGAAGGACGAGTTCAATGGAAATTGTATGTTAAGCGCGGTCATATATTCTCGTCGATAGGACGCGTGCTATGTGTTTAATATCATAAAACGGTATATACGTTGTAACGTAAAGAATTTAGTCTACATATATGTATGGAAAAGAGCTCATAGGTAAGGACTTATATCTCGTTTAGACATAGCTATAGACCACTGTCTTCGATCACTGTCTACGATCACTGACCGACGAGTTAGAGTCACGATCAGATAGCAGGGCTACAAGATCTTGGTCGGATAATTGATGTTCGGATAACCGAGGTTTGACTGTAGTTCATTGTAGGCACAAGTCAGTCAGAGTTGAACTACGTTGCAATCATTGTATCACACATACCAGACTCAATGTTAAAAACATGGCTCTGCTGTTCAAAAGTATACATCTTATGTAAAGTATGGAGCTCAGGGCACATCTTTGCATTCTAAAATTGGAGGTTACTGCTTAATGGTTTTTAAGCAGTAAAGTGCATCTGTACTGGTTGATATCGAATACTTGGTGTATACTGAACACCCCCCCGTTAGTAGTTCTATATCAACGGTCTTTATCTCGAAAACATGATGTTTACAGTCTAGCCTGTACTATGGAGCCGATAATCCTTGCTGTGCCCGGTGGCTATGACTACAGTAACATGACAGTAACAGTAACAGATGTGAATACACAATGAGAATGCTATACATATTCATGTATATTACTGCATTACACCATTATTAATTGAACATGTGCAGTCCTCTTCATTCTGGTTATTAATGAACACGTGTTTATTTTATATCAATATCACTCGAACATATTCTCATCGGTTTGTATGATGTATCTTGCATATTTCATAAATTATTTCAATAATTAATTTCATTGAAAATGTGTTATACATGTATATTCAGATATAACACATTTTGCATATTCACGAAAAGGACGTACAATATACACTTGTTACTCATCTAAGTGTGGTAAAAAATAGAACGTGTTTTTATAAAAAAAATAGCAGGTTCATCATTCGGGCATCCGTGTCCTCGGGGGGAAGAAGAGCAATGGCCGGTTAGCTGTAGCAGGTGCTGTGTGGCGTGCATTCATCCTGCATCGATAATGCATTGTGTATGCCCATATCGAGGCATCGACTGATTACCGGGCCTGTAACATGCATTTATTAGCTCATCTGACATGGTCAGATGCAGCTTGTAGAATCGCTTGATCGTCCGTCCGTCCGTCAACAGTTGGGCACAAATCTTAACCGCTCGACGTACGGTCACGATATTCGGG